CGCTTACCTTCAGGGTCATACGTCACATGAAAACCAAAATAGTTCCAAACGCCAGATCTGAATGGGGGTGGTTCAAGTTGCCATGTTGCAAGGAGAGCTTAACTTCTGTCTCGCTAGCTTGCCCTGTACTCAGTGAATCTGCATTTGACTACTCCGCCTAGGCTGCACTGTCGAGCGCAGATCCACTGAGCGCTCAACACAGACAGCATTGTCAAAAGGAAAGTTGATAAAATAAATTAAAAATTTATTTTTTATTGTTCGATACATATGGGTACCAAACCGAAAGCACTGTATCAAACGGTTCAATATCGATACGAGTATCGTTGCACCCCTAGTTCTCACATATATTTAATATGATATGTTCGAGTTTTCTAAACCTAATGTGGGACGAATGGGGGTCTGTATGCATTCTGTTTACTGTAACCAATCCTAGATTTAGGCACACTGAAAATTAAACAGAAAAAAGGGATTGTGAGATGCAAGTGGCTACTGCTGAAACGGACAAAGAAACAAATAGCAAATTCGTGTGGTCTGAAACCATAGCTAAAAGCTGCAGTGTTCAAAGAGAAGAGAAGCAATCGGGACACCCAATAACCAGTGTACTGGCTTAGCCTTTGGATGAAACTGTCAATTTTGGGGACTTGTGGTGTTGCCAATTTTCTCTCCATCGTTTCTTTTTAAAAGTAAAATAGAAGGATAATGAAAATGAATCAGGGTCAGAAAATGTCCAATAGTTATCAGATGAAATTTGGCATCTAGCATTTCTCATTTGCTCTCCACACAGACATGCAACCAAAGCCTCCTCAAAGGCCATTAGTCAATGCCACTCAAATTTTAAGATAAAAGTGGAAACCAGAAAGTTTCTGCTGTCTCTTACCTATAGATGTTATATAATCATATACACAAGCTGTTTACAGAGCTTTTCACACGACTCTGTGCAGTCCTATGGTTAAGCACTCCCTTACTGCTTCCACAGGAAATAAGCTAAGCAGCAGCCAGGTGCTGATGATGAATTGCACTTTGATCATCAGCAAGTTTGCGCACCTCTATAAAAGCAGCAACGTTTGGCAGTTTGCTGCCTGAAGCATTCAGGTGTTTGTTAACACATTGCCACAATTGCCCAAGTGAAGATGTCCCAGCAAATTCACATAAAAGTCAGGCTGTGAAAACAAATAAATAAAAAAATACAAGAACTTTGTCTCAGATGCTGCAGGCCTCAGCATGTTAAATGTTAAAGTTTATGACAGTAAAATTTATAAATGTGAACACGTGTGGCTTGTTTGGAACGATTTTCTCTAAAAAGAACCAGGTGACATGGCTTTGGTTTGCAAAGACGAACCTAAACAAACTACAAGACTTCAGGAACAATGAACTTTGGACAGCCAAAATTACTGCCGTAAACACGGTATATCCATTCAAACATCTCACGCCACAGTCAAGCATGGTAGTGGAGGGGTGGTGATTGGGGCTCGTTTTGCAACCACAGGACCTGGACACCTTGCAGTTATTGAGTCAAACATGAACTTTTACAAAAAAACTACAACAAGAAGGTTTCAAAAAGCACACAGGACTGTCGCTACCAAAAACCTTAATGTAACATAGTGTGTATATGAGCCTGTTGCAGTGCTTGGGTAACAAAACTCTGTTTAATATTTAGCTTTGGGGATTAAAGCAACCTGACATGGCACAGCAGTACTTTTTGAACATCTATACTTAATTCTTAATCAAAGCAAATGATCAGTGTAAAAAATAAATAATTAAAAAAAGAACATTTTTCTGCGCTTAAAGAGGACTTGGAACAAATTTGGTTTTAATGTTCATTTCAAATATCCCCGTCGTGACCGTAACACAATGAGATGATTTTGGACAAGCCTATTATTCTACAATGTCTCCCACACCGGCACACGTGTGAAGTGGCTATAGCGTGTGACACATTAGTAGCCAGTACAGTGTGATTGTTTTGGACTGTGGAAATTGAGCCTCTCAGCAACTGGATAAGAAAAGAACTCCAAGGCACACAGCTGATTAATGCCATGGGTTATTCATGGAGCTGCACAGTCAACTGTTGTCAGGTTTTTCTGCTCCTACAACACACTGACTCATACATAACCAAGTGTGCGTGTGCAGATGCGTAAGTGTGTCTGCCCTGGGAAAGAGCAAATCTGCCGATGCTATCACAAATCCTCAACAGCTACATCTCCAAATCTTCCTCCCTGCTGCAGATCCTGTGACAATACAATGCTGCGAGCGTGCTTGCACGTATGCCTTTGTTGATAATCACTTGCAAGATGAGTTTCAGCTTTCATCTTCTAAGAAAATTAAAACATAAAAACTCTGTTGTGGAAAATAGGCCACTTGATGTTTATGCCTTAAGAAGGTTTTGGCAGCACAAGGGGGAAAAAAATCCTCCAAATGCCCCGACACCCGAGCCTTTTGCACACAGCGAACTAATTGCAGCCGAGATACTATTCTGACAAGCTACATACAGACAGAGCTACAGATATTTTTTCAGCTTTTCAAAGAAGATGGTTTTATCTCTTTATTTAGGTTAGACTAAAACTGAGGCTTGGCCTGTGGCGCTTCTCAAATCCTTTCAGCAAGGTGTCGTGCTCGTTAGAAGCACAAAAATAAGGATAAAAGCTGGACAGCGCTAAAAAAAACAAAACAAAAAAAACCACAGAGGCTGTTTCCATATTCTTCACTCCCAGCTGAAGTTATGCAGGCGTAAAGGGAGAACTGGGTCATCCTGCTGGCTCAGTTGGCTAAAGGTGTGTCTCGTTTAATTTATTACCTTGAATTCATCCCAGATGTTTTTTCTCATCTCTTCATTCATTCATTCATTCATTTCATTTATTTGTTCATTTTCAGGCACAACAAATACCTATATTAAACATAAAATACACAAAACAAAAAACAAAAATTGCCTGAAAAAGGAGTGGGACGAAGAAAACTTATTAAATCCCACCCCTATACTCACTCATCAACAAAAAAAAACAATAAACTTCCCGCAGCTACGCTCATCATTGCATACAGACCCATCAACAGCCCCGGGCACATACAAGCATCTAAACAGCAGCTCGCAAACAACAATTAGAGCCTTCATAACTGAATACAGAATATATAAATTATAAATGGAAAAATCCCATTATGGAAGCTTGTTTAGCTCCTTTATTTGAGTTTGCTGATGCTTTCTTTTGAGTTTTCTTCTCTTTCTGCCTCTTACGGTGCAGCATAATGTAAAAAACAAACCATAACCCCTCTGTTCTCTTTGTAAATGTGGCTAACCTGCGTATATTCATGGCGGCAACTCCTTCCCAGGTGTTGGTCTTGGGGTTGAAGCGCTCCACTGAGTTCAGGCAGCTGGTGCCATCATTGCCTCCTGCGACGTAAAGCATGCCGTCGAGCACGGCCACCCCGGCACTGCTGCGTCGACTCAACATGTTGGCGATGGCGGTCCACGTGTTGCTCTGTTCAGCCAATCAAGAGACCGAGCACTTGTCACATATTCACACAGCAGATTCATTTGTACCGTTTCACTCTGTCTACAGCATCCAGTCTAGGTAAACCTGGCAACAGACGAGTTTTTCTAATGATAAATTTAACAGCTGTATACCTGGGGGTCATATTTCTCCACTGTTGCGAGATGTGAGGAGCTGTCATAACCTCCCACCGCATACAAGCTGCCATCTGGAGGGGAAAAGGGAGTAAATACTGAGAATGTAAATATTAGCGGTCGCATACCGAGATGGCAACTCCCTCTTGATGTGAGTTATTAAAATACAAACAGTGAAAAGTAAATACAGGAGCACAGCTTGGTTTTTTGTTGCCAGTACCTACCCAGAGTTGCTACTCGAACATATCTCCTACGAGTGCTCATAGCAGCGATTGAGGTCCATGTACTGGTCAGAGGGTCGTACCTCTCCGCACTAAAAGAAGAGGTGAAAAAAGACAGATGCTCACGTGTATTTAATTCAGCTTAAAATGATCAGTATTCATCAGCATAGTAACAGGCTGTGCATACCTATTGAGACAGGAAGCTCCATCGTAACCCCCCGCAGCGTACAGCAGGCCATGCAGGACAGCTACGCCTAGACAGCTCCGTCGTGTTCCCATGGAAACCTCAGGTTGCCAGGAGTTAGTGATAGGGTCATAGGACTCCACGGTTGCAAGGTCAGAGGTGCCGTCATAGCTAAAGAGAGCGACACGGATATAAATGAATGCACAACTTTGCAACAAACGGTGAACATACAAGATAAAAAGTTGCTTTGCATGGAAGAAAGCTCTCACCAGCTTATCGAGCAAATGCAAATTATCCACAAATTCTGCTTCCCCTCAAATCACACAATGTAATGTTTGAGTAACAAATAACTTTTTAGGGTCAAACGCTGCGATTATTATCACCTACCCTCCAACAGCGTATAGTCTGTTCCCAATTGCTGCCACGCCCACCCGTGCCCGCCGAGTGGACATGGACGCCACCATGTGCCAGCGGTCTGTTCTGGTGTCGTACGCCTCGCAGTCTCCGTGGATGGCAAACAAGCTGCCACCACCTGGGAAAGAACAAACATACACTAAAAAAAATGAGGAAAAATGCTTTGAGCAAAAACGCAAATGTCATCAGGAGGATGGTGACATGAGAAAACGAGGACTTCACAGTCATTCCAAACAGCAACGCTAGAAATTAAAAATGAGGGAGGAGAAGTATTAGAGCCTCACAGCCTCCAATCATAGTGGGTGTAAAGGTCAGATTGTTCATTTTGGAAACAGTCGATGGAGACACATCTGACGTGTGTGTGTGTGCACAGGCGCACTATTCAAGTTCCAACATGCAGTTCACACAGAATAAAAAATGCTGGCATTTGTAAAAATCATGAGTGACTGGTGAGCTAGAGATGTGTGAGGTCCAAGTGTACCCTAATGGGTACCTTCAGATGCACACTGACCAACGGCGAAGAGCACAGGGCTGGCGCCTTCGCAGCGTCGTGGGCGCGTCCGGCTGTTGCTTAGGACACCCCTCTGCTCCGGCATCAGGTGATACTTTAGGGCCTCGATTAGCAGGTCTTTGCACTCCGAGTGGTGACGCACCAGCAGCTCCGTGTCTACGTTGCTCATCAGAAAGTCTCGCCTCAACAATGGCAGCCGCACGCACTTCATCAGCTAGCGAAGACAGTGGGAGAGTGGGTGATGAGCGGGTGGCGCTACACAGAGTTAAACAACAAAAAGGGGAATGGTTTCCATGTTACCCACCCCAAACGACTTACCCAAGGTACATGTTGCCTGCGTCCATCTATATCATGTTTTACCCAACTCAACACGGCTCGGTACACTTCCTCTTCAGATGGCACATTGAGATTGTCACTGGAAATCAAATCTAGGACCTGGATCGCAAAGACAAAGCATATAGGAAGAGTGAAATTATACTATCGCTTACAACTTTATATTATTCTTTTTTTTTTTAAAATCATAGTGTATCAACTTGGACCGTTGAAAAGCATTTGCAGAATACTTTCTTGTGGTTGTAGAAATCGACACACAGGAAGTAATTTGCATGGGTCACAGACCGTGTTAGTTCCTGTATATAGTGACTTCAGCTGAAGTCTTGCATCTCCTTTTGTTTTGTTGTCTCAATTCAAAATGAAAGAAAGGATGACTCAATAAAGCACGACTCTGACATCGTGCACACTTCGCTTGTGCATTATATTACAGCCTGTGTGTGTGCACGTGAGCCGTGATACATTTTAAGTAATAGTTTAAGCTACCACTTCTTCAATTGTGCATCTGTGGCACAACGAATGCTGGACTCTGAGTGGCTGGCTGGCAGTGTTCCCAGCCCAAGCCTAAGCTGGCAGGGCTGGGTGGGACCAAGGAAGCCAGCTGCTGCTGCTGCTGTCTTGCCTGGCCAGATCAGAGCAAAACCCTCCCAGGAACAGCCTCCTCTAATCCAGAGTCACACACAGAAATACTGCTGATGCCACTGCCCCACCCTGCAGTCCCTCCTACCACTGCATGCACATAGTGCATCAAATTAACTCCAGAATGTGTGGGTGCATATGGAGAAAAACGCCTTTACTGCCTTTTCATAGTATGGCAGCACGATTGAGGGACATATGAGTGCCACTGTGTCAAAGTACTCATGTCTTCATAAGCTACACGCAGTAATTAGGAGGAATCTGTCGACTGTTGTCTTCAAAATGTCACGCATACGACTCTACATCACCAAATTTGGCAAGTCACAATCCTGTCGTGCCTTGCCACTTCCTCCAGAGAACATCAGAAGAAATATGGGGCATATTTCACAGCTCTGTGAGCTTGAAGTCCTGTAGAGCAGCCAGTACATAAATCCTGATCTGGTGCAGATTTATGACAGTCACAGAACAGCTGCAGACACGACAGTGGAGTAAGCCAAGAGAAAGAGAGAGACAGAAGAACAGGAATGAAGAAAATGGCCTATTTTTAATCTGCTTTTATGCAGCTTAAGTTTCAGTGTTTTAATGGACTGTGCCCACACACTGCAGATTCAGTCTCGGGGCTTTGAAGGCCAGATACAGAGGGAAGCTTAGTGTGTTACTCTGGTGGAACAACATCGCTTTAGGACTGTGGGAATTGTTATTTAAAGAGTGAGAAAATAACGGGAAAGGGATGGTAGTAGCAGTTTGTTAATTTTCTTCAACTTCCTTTTAATTTGCTGTTACTTTCTTAAACATTTCATCTAACAAAATATATATTTTCTCAATTCTTTAGATGTTACAGTGAGCCCCCGCCTGAAACAAAAACATGATGTGCCTCTGTGGGCTTTTAGAAGCTGTCTGATATCATGAACACAATTTAAAAAAAAACAAAAAAAAAAAAAAAAAAAAACACGAATTGCTCTAAAAGTTTAAAAATAAAAACATGTAAACTTTGTACTCAGGTAGGTGTGTTTAAACTGCAGGAAACAGGAAGTTTAAATAACCCAACAGCAGCACTACTTTATTCTTTAGCATGCCAGGAATAGACTAATACCAACACATAAATGTCAAATACAATATGCCAGGATGTCCCGCTGGATTTTGTATCACTTTGCAGTAAGAAGCTAGCGTATGTTTCTGCCTTTTCTGCTACAATTTTGGGCAACAACTTTTTAAAAAATATTTTCACTCCTTCGGGATCTACTCCAAAAAGGACTTTGCAGTTCTTGTTAGCCAAACATTGCCCTCTTCACAGGTAACTGATAGCAGTGTTTGGCTGCTGAGCAGCTCATTTGACCAGGGTTATATTCTTTCCCAAGGCCCAGCATTCCTTACATCGCTCTAAAATAAATGGGTACACCTACAAGATGCATTTCCCTTAAAACCTTGGTTAAAACAAGCAAAAGCAAATTAATTGAACCAAAACAGAAACCATTATTGTTACGTCAGAGGAGCAAACACTGCTGTTAGCTCTCTAAACAGCACAGCAGCTGTGGAAATGTCACTGGCTTTGCCTAATTACCACTTCCCAGACAGGAACCAGAGTGCTGCCACCGCTGAGCCCTGCTAATGAATAAGTGATAGTTTGGCTTAGCCGACTTGCCAGATGACAAAACCGCAGAAGACAGTGAAAACAGGCAGGAGAAAAAGTTTCTCTAGTGAATGTCAAAAGCACACAACTTCCCCGTGGCATGTTGATGCAGTTTAAAAAAGAAAAAGCTGTGCTTGTGTATACATTATGCTGGGGAAAAATTATAGATGTAAGCATTGCTGTGTGTCCTTTGTGCTTTGGCATTATTCATGATTGATTAATCATCACCCCTACCTGTTTCAGTGGCAGCAGCATGAACTCCTCAGTCTTGGACACCTCCACAAAGTGCTGCAGGACATACTTGTGTGCTGACTTGAGCAGGTCGCTGCAGGAGTGTGTGTCAGCGAAGCCTCGGATGCCCAGGCAGTTTGAGGGGTCCAGCTGGCTGAGGAGGAACTTACAGCAGGCGTCCCGCACCCCATTGAGCTGCAACAGGCTCGCTGCTGGGAGCAGTGTCTACAACAGGTGGAAACGCAAAGTCTGTTAATTTTTTTGTGCCATATGAAAAAGAAAGAAAAAAGTGGTTTAGCAGTTGTGTATGTGAATCTTAAAAGGTCAAGCCTACCTGCACATTTCCTTCCCCGACCACAATCTCTGCTGTGTAGGCATACTGGACCAGCTGCTCCAAAGCCTGAGGGTCAATGTCGTGAAGGGTCACGTGGGTCTGACGGCTCTCAGACATCTCATCTGCGTGGCCGCACAGAATGAGATCAGATTAATTTTAACAAATTACACCGAGTAAAGCTCCAGCTGATAGCAAAACTCCTCCCTCTTCAATCATACTGACACATGGCATCTCATAACATTTACAGCACTGCTGCAAAATGTCAGCACAGCTCATTTGTTACCGTTTATTAAATCAGTCGTTTCAAGTGTGTGAGATTTTTGAAATTCCTGGATATAAACACTCTCTCTCCCACAGAACTAAGCCTGGAGCTTCTACGGTAACAGTCACGAGCTTCATCGACTCATAGTTAGACAACCTCACAAACACCTCTGCTGAGGTTTTCTGTTAAAATAGCTTAATTAGGGACTCTGTCAGATGACATGAAGTCTAGCAGCTGAGTCTCCAGGCAAATGACTGTCTGGAGACACACAGCATCCTCACAAAGGGCTAGTGTTTGGGAGGAAATCTGACTTACACACACCTCACATGACCACCTGTGCCCCAGACAGGAATAGGTGGAAGGAAGCGATGATGCTGAAAGGATGGAACAGCCATAACGGCACGCACCCACGCAAAAACAAGTTCTAATGTAAACAAACTCAAACAACAGAGAAAAATAGTTTGCAGTTTGCGTTTGTCATGCCACTTGCTCATCTTTGTTAACTTCAGGGACAGTATACAGTATATGCATCATCAAGGTCCATAACACAGACTGAACTTACTGGTAAACATAGCGTGGAAGTATGGACTGCAGGACGCCAGCACCACTTTGTGCGCCTTGATTTCTTTGTTGGAGACATGAAGGACGATGTCGCATAGCAAGCCACGCTGTCGCATCCGGTTCATGGACACGAAGGAGTCGTGGTAGTGGCGCTTTGAGTTGTGCGAGATGCTGTGGCCATCACGGTTGAGCAGCTGCATGCCCCCCTCCATCATGGTGCCTGACGTTGCGGTCGTGGGCTCGTGCCTGGGCCGCACTCTTGGCAACTGAAACGTCAAGAAAAGCTTTTTAATGTCGGCCAATACTAATATCATCATCATAATAAAATCCTTTTTTTGGGGGGTAGACAAAAGTCTTGGCTTTGCTTATCTATAGGGAGTGAGCCGTTATGACAGGTGTCCTGGGCAATCATTATACACTTATAGCACCCATCCTGTCGGCTATGACAGGAAGTCCTGCCAGCATGGCAGAAATCTGAGTACAATCACAAAGTGTAGTAGGATGGATGGCCTGAATATTTCACATTCAGTCTCAGGAATGATTAGATCTCACTATGACACAGCAGAGAGTTTCAAAAGATGGACATTATGCATGAGCCTGCCATCAAATCAGTGTGATCCATCCTGACTTGCAATTTAATTGGACCACATTTAGCTGTGAACTCCCCCACTCTGCTCTTGAATGGAAGAACACACTTCTGCATGTTGCATAACTGTCATCACGCAGCATCTTAGAAATTGTTGTCTGATGAATATGTAGTGACCAGATGAGGAAACCAGATTGAAGCAAGAGTAGAAAACCACAGGCCAAGAACAGACTGATTCTTAAACAAAACAAAATATAATGCACTAACTCCGATGCAGTGATACCTTAAAAGTGTGAAAGGCTTATAAGCAGAAGCTGACTATGGGGTTGGGGAGGCCACGCTATCAAAAATATAACCTTCATACTCATTTGCAGCTCCACGTTTGTAACCTTTGAAGAATAGCTTTCAAATAATTCTTATTTATCTAATGCAGCTAAAAAAGGATTATTTATCTGGGATGAACAGGACCCTGGAGCCCACAATTCATCCCATAAACTGTATATAACACATAGACTAACGCATACACACACATAATGCCTTTAATTTATTTAAAAAAAAGGGGGGGGGCAGGGATAGCTCAGTAGGTAGAGTGGTTGCCCCATGACCGGAAGGTCGGGGGTTCGACTCCACTGAACAGCTACCCTGAGGTACCCCTGAGCAAGGTACCGTCCCTACACACTGCTCCCCGGGCGCTGCATTGGTGGCTGCTCACTGCTTCACTGGGTGAATGGGTTAAATGCAGAGGAGTAATTTCCCTACGGGGACTAACACATGCACACACACACACGCACACACACACACACACACACACACACGAAAGATGGACACAGCCAGCACAACATCACTACCATCTTTTCCATTTGAAACCTGACCTGACAAGCGAGGAGTGGATGTGAGTGTGAAACAGAGGAACACTGAATTCTTGCTGGCAAGTGATTTGCAAGTATTTAGCCACTGAGCAGACGCTGGTTCGCCCTGCGTTCAGACGAATAATTAAAATGTGACTACGAGGGGCTCTCCCTCAAGCTCCTTCCCTTGCCTGGGAACCCTTCAATGTTCCCCTGGATAAGATCGAGGATGTGGCTTAAGAGACCAACTTCTCGGCTTAGACTGCTGCCCCTACGACCCAGGCCCAGATAAACACCGAAACACTATTTTACATGCTCTTCTTTTAAATCAATCAATCTGATTGGCCTTCTAATTGACTGCTCTTCGCAAAACATACGGTCTGAACGGCCGGTTTGGTGGGGCTGCTCTTCTCACAGCCAGAGGTGCTGTATCAGAGATGACAATATTTAGGATATCAGCCAAAAGTGAAAAAGAAATCACAGTAACCACACATTTAGACTTTTTTTTTTTGGCTTAAATATATTAGCTGTACTTAGACTGATGTCATTATTTTAAACTTTGCTATTATTTAATGTGAGCATTCACAGGTGTAGAAGAACTTATATGATTGAAAATAAAGGAATATATGTGATATATGTTTAAACTTTAATGATAAAGAAGGATTCTTAAACTACAGGACCCCTGATAAGTGTGGTCATTGCCTGCAGGACCTTACAGCCACACACATTAAACAAATAAATAAAAATCACACATACCTTAGGATATCTATTTAATACACCAAGCTGGAACATTCCCTTTGAACCACCACATACAAACAGCCTCTGTATGCTTTATTTAGACATATGACAGGAGGTTTACAATTTTGAGTTAATCAGAGCAATTATGCAACAAGCAGAATCTCATCAGGAGAGAATATTGACCAGTTTGAAGTCCAAGAAGTGCAATGCTCAATGCTGAAACCCATTGTACCATTTTTCCTGATTATGTTAAGTTTCACATGACTGTCAAATAAGCAGTTCCCTGTTATGATCAGTACATCCTAATAACGGCTCTGTCGCTTTCAATTCAACACTCTTCCCCCATCCCACCGAGCACCATCTCAAATGTCATCACAGCTGCCTGGCTACTACCCCTGGGTCCCATTTTCCAAAACACAATAGCCCATTAAAAAAAACAAAAACACGCACACCAGCCATGTTCCTCTATGAGGGAACAATCTGCTCTCATGCCCAAGGGAATGGTAAGAGACAATGCTGGAAAATGAGACATGGAAACACGGGATGTTGTGGTAGATGTGAAAACAACTGTCACAGTTAAACTAACAAACTGAAACACTTGTCCTGTTCATCTGAGGCTTGTTTCTCCCTTTATCGTCTCTACCCCCAAACCCTGGCTGGTATCCACACAGAGGCTGAGTTGCTCCTTGATAAATAGTGCCTGCACAATCCTGCTGAATGCACAATTTCATTGGGGGGACACAGGGATGTTCCTATCCAAATATCACTATGTGATCTACGGAAACCCCAACCCCCACTCCATCAGCACTGAATAAGAGCATATGTCAGCTGCAGCAGCGGCAATAGGAAAGAAAATGAATGTATAATGGCTTTACCGGTGGTTGTTTTGCAGTTATCCTTGAAGACAGTGTGTTCCAGGAGGTAAGGGGAGATGAATGAAGAGCTGTCGCAGTCAGAAGGCTTTAAAATCCTATCACCGTCTACTTATCGGTCCATATTGTGACTCGAGCATAGGAAATATGAAGAAAGCCTCTGTTTTGTGCTGTATGTGCTTGACGTCAATGCAAAAAAAAGAGCTGCCTGAAAGCTGACATCGGTCTGTTAAGGTGGCCCTGTAATTGTCGAAGCCGAAAGTAGCAAGGCTTGCTCATGCTGTTAAATTTTAATACGTTAAAAGGGAAGACATGGTTGAAAAACACCGGTATGTCATTTCAAAGGACCAACCGGCAAACTAATGCAGTGAATGTTCAGTTTACGAGCCCACAGACACACGCGACCTTAAGCCATCACTTTTGTCTTGTCGGAACACGGAAGTGTGTTCGGCGTATCCGTCTGTGCTACTGTGAAAGGCGGAGTTTTCAGTGACGCGCTGTGATTGGCCACAATATGAAACATACCCCGTTTTGGTTAGCCCGGAAAATAAAATGAAACATAACTACAAACGTGTTCAATAATGCACAGCTTCTGTAATTTTTTCCTCGTTATTTACGTGCAAATTATACACTTATCACCCTACTACTGACGTACAATAAGCACCCTGTCTTTATTATCTCTACGTGAGATAGCCAGTGATTCTAAATAAGCTGTCTATGAAGCTAGCCGCTAAGGTAACGTTAGCTAACCTGAAAAAAATTAAAGCACAGGGTACTCACGACCAGCCGTCGTCGGTGTCGATGCGATGACAGCAGTGACTTCCTTCGGTTTGTAAGCTTGCCCAGCTTTGAGGCCGTGCAAAGTAACGTTTAAAAAATACTGTACTCCTCTCTGGATATTTGGCTTCCTGTGTCTGGTAAATGCAGCTGAACATTTTATTTAAACCTCACGTGTTGCATCAAAACAGTGTCCGATCTTGCACGCGCAAGAAAATTTCGAGGTTTCCGTGAACGCACTATCGTATATTTGTTTTAAATAATCAGTTGATTATTTGTTCACTGTATTTGTGCCAACTTTACTTTCATCAAAAACTAAACAAATAAAGTTCGTTAGCATTTTATCAAAAATAATAATGTTTCGGTTAGTCGGTGTAATTATAAACGCAACTACCGTCATACGATCAGTATCCGCGAAACATAAAACCAATTCCATCACTTTGCACCAGAGGATTGTGGGTATTGCGGTTTGGCGTCACGTTTTTTAGATCCAGCATGGCAGCGAAACAGAAGAGGTTTGTTAATATTTTCTTTATTATGCTATGAATACAATGAGATTTACCCAGTATTTTATGTTGATGTTGAAAGTAAAAGTCTGGCCAGTTAGTCGTGAAAGTCATTCTAACTCTTTACGACTGTATGTTAGTAACTAAAGTGCTAGCATAAAGTCGTCATGCTAACTCGAATACGACTGCTGTATTCTAAGTGTGGTTTCGCTTCATGAAAATATTAATAATAATAATAATAACAACAATAATAATAATACAAGGTTCCTGAGTGTTTTAGGGAGATATTTGCATCTGACTGACAAGTGAACAGCTAACCAACAAAATGCTTACACGTGAACTTAAAAACTGTAGGACAGTTAGACCACACACACATTTTGATCGACTTGCTTCTTATGGATTGTTTTCTTTCTTGTAGGAAATTAGAAGACTTGAGTGTGGATGAGTTCCTGCTGACAGGCTTTGAATCTGACGAAGAGCCTCCCAAACAGAATGGGCTCAAGAAGAAGACAGATCAGAACTCTCCAAGCCCTAAGAAGTGAGTCCTTATATTTAGAGACCTTTAGGGGGTGAAACATAATCTTAAATGTGGGCACGCTCTGATACGGGTAAACACACGTGCAGCATTTTCCAGTGTAAAATGTTTGGATATTGTATTCTGTTCAATTGGGGTCATATCCATTTACTTTTCAGACTCACCAACTGACTTCACACCCCTTTAGCTATGGTACTATTCTGCTATATGTGCTGCCTGGCCTAATCAAAGTCAAAGTCCTAACCCGACTGAGATGCTTTGGCAGGGGCGTAATTTCCAGGGGGCGTGATTATTCTTTTCTGTATGATGTACTGTTAGAAAAGTGCAAATGCAGAAAATGTCTCAAAGTTCTGTAACTCGTTTTGTACATACTCTGTATTTGTAGAGATCAAAAGTCTAAAGGTAAGGCCTCTCAGCACAAGGAGCAGCTGTCCAGGTTAAAGAGCAAAGATCCCGAGTTCTACAAGTTTCTGCAGGAAAACGACCAGGCGCTTTTAAATTTTGACGACACCGACAGCTCAGACGATGAAGACGAGAGAGGGTACCACAAACTACCATCTAAACTGGAGGTAAGAGGGCTACTTACTTTCTGGTGTGAGTTCTTTTGGAAATTAGGAGATCCTCATGCTGCCTTTTTACATGTTTGTAGGAGGCCAGCTCTGGGGACGAAGAAGATGATGACGATGAATATGCTGCAAAAAGTTCAAAGAAAGCCAAGAAGGGAGCAGATACTATCAAAGTCACAGACAAAATGATAGACGACTGGAAAGCGGCCATGAAGAAAGAACCCACAGCTCATCTCTTCAGAGAAGTCACGCAGGCCTTCAAGGCTGCTGTCGCCACAACGAAGGGTGAAGAGGGCGGTCAGTGCCGCTACAAAGTAGCTGACAGCTCAGGTGGGTCCTCATATCTGTATTCATGTATATATGGGTATATAACAGTTTAATTTGAAATTAAAACACCAGTCACACAGGCCTAGAGGCCTGTCAGCAACCATTTACCATCCAACAGTCACAAAGGAAAAATGTGTGTTCTCCAACCGGTAAGCAAGTGATTGTTGAAAGCACTATTTATGCAGTCCTAGAGAGGGGGGTCTGTGACCCCTGGCAACCATTGATTGCTATGTGAAAGTTTTAATTCTGTGACTGGTTGGTGAGTAGTTGGTCTTAAATAGCCCTTTTCCATTAGCACCTCTTCGGATCAGATCGACTTGGTTTTTGGGGTTTTTCATTATGTGGTAGTACCTGGTACCACGTACTTTTGTAGTACCTACTCGGCCGGGGTTTCAAGCGATCTGAAAATGTGACGACAACAGACTGCATCCCACTGGTTGGCTAGTCATTGGTCATGAGAGCATCTCCTTCATGAAAATCAAAACAGCCAGTTTTGAAACCAGGCAACAAGGAAACACAGTGGTCCTCAAGTCTGATTAAAAAGCCATACACCGAGCAGCAGGTATACCATCGGTGTAACGTCCACGGGACATTTGGACCCACTGCTATCACGACCCTATAGACAATAGATGGGGCGACTGGAAAACGAGTGGATCCAAGTATGTACTGATGAAAATGGCTAAAGGACCTCTTTTAAAAGAGCTAAAAGAGGTATACGGTGATGCAGTGGAGACAGTTCAGCATCTTCCATACAAACTGCTGTCGACTGCTGTGATCTGCTAGCAACCGGCAACCAATCACCAACCAGTAAGGGAATACCTAGCGAATTTAATAATTTAACCATAATTTGTTGTCGGTCCTTAATGACTTGTCACATGCTGTTGGAAGCGTTCATGCTTTTGTGTGATATTTTACTCATTAATTAGCTTGTAGTCGTGTCCCTACGGTTGTTTATGCAGTGCCAGCCACGATAGAAATATATAAAATGCTTGGACTTGTTGTTATTGTTGTCAGGTGGGGTTTTATTTTTTGTTTTGTTTTGGGTTTTTTTTGTTTTTTTGTGGGGGGGCTTTTGTTTTTCACTTTTTTTGAACATTCTTTCATCTCCGTTCTGATACTTCTGGGAATCTGCAGTTAGAAATTTACTGACATCTCTGAGTCCTCATGTTGAGGTGGTCATTTTTATTCTCTGACTGATAAATTTAAAAAAGTGTAGTTAACAAATAAAATAAAAATAAAAAAGTGGTAAATGCACAGGAGGAATTGAGAGTATCGAACAGGCCAAGCACAGTAGCGGTTATATTTGTAGTTACAAATGTAACTGCAAAATGTACAGTTACATTTGCACATCAGGTTACATTGTAGTGTTTCAGAGGGTTTATGTTACGATGTATCTACAGTGCAGATTTAATGTTTATTTTAACGTTTTATGCACTCCGTAAGAAGCTCATAAGATTCACAAACATCAAAAATGAGCTAGGATTAACAAGACACATTATATAAATAAAAAGAAGCGAAGAATAAAAGAAGCGAAGCTTATTTAGAGACAAACATGCCGATCTCTGTCACAGAGAAGAAATTGAAAACACAGTTTATCAGTTACAAAAAGTCCTCTGGCAGTTCTTCAATCTTTCCTTTAAAGATCGATTGTTTCTAGAATTGTGTTATTGTGATGACATAAGCACATTAATATTCAGTCCTTGTGCTATTTATGAAAGATACAACACTTAAGCATGCATGATGTTCTTTTTCTGTCTGCAGTGTTCAATGCTCTGGTCCTGTTCTGCATCAAAGATATCCACGGAGCTCTGCAGAGGATGCTTAACCTGAAGGCAGATAAAGACCAAAAAAAGTACAAAATCCACAATATTCACACTCGTCTCATTTCTCATCGATTGTCTCGGTGTAGCTGAGAAGAGGGAAAAGAAAACCTGTTCACTCATTTCTTTGTTTGTCTTGCGGTTTGTTCGCAGGTCAGTGCTTCCTTCGTCTAGTCCAAGATGGCAGAAGAATCAGATGGACATAAAGATGTATCTCAGTGGAGTGGTTCAGGTTTGCTCTTTACTTCATGTGTCTCTTTGTTTTTCACCACTTAGATTTCAGGCCTGTGTGTTCCTGTGAGGCAGATACATGAAATACAGGGATTCATTTTTGTGAATATTTGCTTTAAAATTATTTCTTGCTTCCCAACTGCAGCTGTTATCCAGCCTAACGGAGGCTACGGTCATCTGCGCGGTCCTGAAGCACACCAACCAGCTCGTACCGTATTACTTGTGTCTACCCAAACAGTGTCGCCACCTGATTAAGGTGAGACCTCCACCTTAGCTTGATAACACGGAGTAAAATATGTCAGTATTTATTGACAAATGATGTCTTAATGTGTCTTTGTTTTTGTTTCCTTTTCCTGTTTCTGACTCCAGCAACTAATGAAGCAGTGGAGCACGGGGGAAGAGACGAGTCGGGTTCTTGCCTTCCTGGCCCTCAATAAAATCTGCCGCCAGAAACAGGAAACGTACCTCAACCCGATTCTTAAGGTGAGCTGCAGGAATTGAGGTGTTCACAACAAACCTGGATCTTTACTGAGGCAAAAGGGGGGAAAAAACACATCCAGCCTGGGCTTCTTAAGAATAACCGTCTTCCTCTTTGCAGCAAATGTACATTTCTTATGTACAAAACTGCAAGTTCACATCTCCCAACGTGCTGCCCATGATCAACTTCATGCAGAGAACTCTGACAGAGATGTACGCCCTGGACACGCAGGTCACTTACCAGCACGCCTTCATCTATATCCGACAGCTGGCCATTCACCTCAGAAACGCCATGACCATGAAGAAGAAGGTTGTTTGGCT